GGCCATCTCCTTGAGTAGATTTGCAGGCGTGCCCTACATGTCACCAGCGAGTACCATCTGCTGCGGCGCGAAAGAGTGCAGAGAATGATTTGAGGTTACTTGCTCTGTACCAATATGCAGTGTCTGGGATAGAAGAGTTTTACTTCTGAGTGAATTGCAATTCCTGTAATTTTTGCACAAATGGGAGCTTACTTGTCTCCCCATTTGCTCTCAGATGGGTAGTACGAGGCCGAATCGAAAGGCGGCAAGAAATGGCACATACTAATCATCCACCGTGCCCACCAGAGTAGTGGTCTTGGATCTCCATTGCCGTTAATCACAATTCCACCTTCAACAGGTACCTGCAAATTTACAACAATCTCCTGCTTTGCACCTTTTGTTCATAGAAACAGGTACCACTTTTATGCGTTTTTGCAAATATGCAAACTGCAAAAACACATATTGCAACGACCCTCTCAGCATGTATGTGTGTTTATGTTTGTGTGCTTGTGGGGGTGTATGTGTTCGTCTGTCCGGTTATTTCAACTCGACAACCAAGCAAGCTCCGGCGCCAAAATTTTGCAACTCGGCCCCCTAGCCAAGTGCCACCACAGGACTGCGATATCAACCCTCACGCACGTCAGGACTCCGCGTGCGAGCGTGTGAGAATTCTGGCGCGAAAATTGGTAACTCGAAAACGAGGAGAGCTAGAAAGCTGAAACTTTAACATCATTTTCCTCGTCCATAGAGAGCTCAAAGATTTCAAATTCAGCCCCCAGATGTGCGTGGTTCCCGCGTACGGCCTCGTGAGAGTTCCTGGCGGGAAAATCGCTAACTTGAAGACTAAGATAGCTGGGAGACTGAAATTGCAAAGGGATGTTTCCGGCTCATGTACAACTTGATGTTATCAAACTCAGTCCTCAGGCATGCGTGGTTCTCACGCACGGCCCCGTGAAGGTTTTGGGAAGGGGAGGAAGGGCGGAGGGGGTGGAGGGGGAAATGGTTAACACGGGAACCAGAAAAGCTGGAAGCTGGAATTTTAAGTGAATATTCCCCGTCCAAATAAAACTTAAAGGTTTCGAATTCAGCCTCCAGGTACGCGTGATTCTCGCATACAGGCACTTAAATTTCCTGCTGGGAAAATTGCTTGTTGAACAGTTGCGTCATTTCCGAAAAACGACCGCTAAATAGAAATTGTTTATTTTCGTTTATGCAAAATTTGCGATGATTTATGGTATTAAGCACACAAGGTAAGTGTGAAGCAACAATCAATCGCGCAGTTAACCTAATTACTTCAAGTTTGGTGCAAAAACGCATGATCGCACCGGCAAACTTGGTGCGTTCCAGTCTGGATTCTAAATACTTCCCATTCACTGAAGTCCGCTGCATTGTCTGATATCATAACCCCGCCCGCTTCCGTTTCTTTATGCCTCTGGTATCGCTTTCTCCTTATGCTTGTTTCTTGTGTCTTTCTCTTTCCGTTACATTTCTCTTTCCCAGCTAAGGCTACCGCAGAGAGAAGTAAGATTTGTAGTGCCGACAGGTTTGCGAATAATAGTTGCGAATATCAGTAATAAAACCCGCATGATCGAGGTTCGCTACTAATCCTTTTTTTAAAACTTTAAAATCTCTTTCTTCATCCCTCCTTTTCTGCTCCCTCTTCACCTCACTCCTGCTTCATTTAATCACATTATCATACCATTCTTTTGCTTATTTCCGTCGTCCTTCTCTTTTTCTGTTCCGTTAAGCACTGCGACTTCATACTGACGAAGCCCTGTCGCGGTGTTAAGACATATATGACTTAACGAACCGAAAGGTCTTATCTCACTCCTGCCTTTTCCCAAACTGTTCTTTCATGCTGTAATCTATCGCGTTTTCGCCATTCAAGCTTTTGAGGTGCTAAAACCGGTTCAATATCAAATGAAACCACAGCCGTTTTGCTGAGTTCGGTTGCAATCTGTGCTGAACTTCAAGTGGCGTGAATTCCTTGATGGCACACAAATGTAGTTGGACAACTCGTAAAGCTGTGCCAGAGTCATATTCCCCTGAACTGCGTGTCATCACTCCATCATCCCCATTACTTATAACCATATGCACAGTTATCGAGCCCATAAGTCGTCTAGATTCTTGTGCTGCTACAACTCACTAAGTTTAAGCTACCTATAAAACGCAGATCTTACCTTGCGCAGTAGATTCTGTTTTCTCTTGTAAAAGCTACTCGACGCACTGTATACCATCACAGTTCCATGTTCTAATAAACACGTCACCACGCATTTAAGGTAATAAGTGACGCATGTCAAATGAGATATTCTTGCCCTTTTTCTTCGGAACAGTAACAAAGAGAGAAATGAGCTCCAGGACCACCAGGAGATTGCCTAGTCGTGGTTTCGATACAACGACTCTGGAAAAGCTGCTAGCTGCAGACAAACCGAGATTAAATGACAGCTGATCGAAGTAGCGAAGTTAGCAGACGCTTTTTCTCTGGGATGTAGGTTTTGTCGGCGATATGTTACAGAAGTCGTTGCTCAAAAATCCGCAACATCCTCTGCCTCAGCACTATTTCGAAAAACACAAGAATGGCCTCAGTATTTAAACCCTGCTAAGCCGAAACGAAAAGGATAACGCTATGCTTACCCCTTCTGGCCATTTGAAGATCTCTCTGAACGCTTTTCCTCCGTCTTTCGAATAATCCAAACCGCTGTAATACAATATAAATAACTGCAGATTTTGTATTTTTTGTATGTTTTTCAGTATTTTCACTGTACGAAACAGTATGAATGTGCACCTCACACGCTACAACCTCAAGATACCTATGCCCAACTTATAACGTCATTCCTCGTTATATTAGAATAGCAAATAATGGATCCATCTAAATTACTTTTTGCAAAAGACATGTTAGGCAGCAATCTATGTTTCATCCCTTAGCTGTAAACACAGTCCGAATGCAGCGTATAGGTAGCTACCGATACTTTTACAATTAAGCATGGATTCTTAAATAAAGATTAGAGGATAATTTTGCTAGTCGAATTCTGATGTAACTACATGCGAATTATGAGTGCAAGTGACAGTATGCGTTGTCACACATAGTAAACATTCACGTAAAAGTACAGCTTTTTACTCACTTTGGCGCCCAAACTAGAAAGATGCCATCAATTTTGCAACCTGGAAATTGATTTCTGTGTCTTGCACATTTATTCCAGTTTTTGAGAGGGACAAAAGTACGAGGACCTAGCCCGAAAGATAGCAAAAGCCAGTAGCAACCACTCTCCGATAAGGCTTTTGAGGGTTGCTTAGAGGCAATCTATTCACGTACAACGCATAAAAGGCAAGTCTAACCGGAATGCTTGATAGGGCAAGACTGCAACACGAACAACTACGTCAGGGCGATTGCATAAGCTGGTTGGAAAAACAAATCCGTTGAAATAATCTGGATTGATATCTTGCACATCCTTCGATTTGAAACAAGCAAATTCTAAAATCATTGTGACTACCATTATTATATCATACCAAAAACACCAGCGCCGCCTGAATACTCGACGTGGATGACCCACGTTAGTGATATTACTTGGATGCCTCCAAATGTCCAGTGCGGTTACACGATGACTACATGAAATTTATCATAAGAAAAAAGTAAATAGCGACGTGCAAAGGATAGCGGGTGCGATTATGCGTTTTGCGCAGTTCCGTGCAGCGAACATTTGCCTGTTAAGGGTCTTTGCTGCTCTGCACTTTGTTGGGTGCAAAAATAATTGAAATGTTGTCTGGTTCCCAAGTTGCGAAATTTCCCACTAAAATCATGGGCGGTGAACATCCTTCCAAAATCAACCTCCTATTTTTCCGGATTTTGAGTGTTTTTTTGCGACAAAACTTTTACATGGTGCTATGTGAGACCTCGGCACACTTGGAAACTAAACTTGAGTTTGTAAGGGCCTCTGCGTAAACAAAAAGTTCTCCTAAAATTTTTAGCCTTTCACCTTTTCTAGCGTCCGGGCGATAATTTTGTTCGTCAAAACATTCACGGGCACGTTGAAATCCAGGCTACATGAAAGCCGAACTTTGAATTTATGGAGTCATACGTAGGCAGAGGACAGCACCCTAAAATTTCAGTTTCCCAGCTTTCGTGGTCCCCAAGATAACCTTCCCGTCAAAACTTTCACGGTCGTAAGCGGCACACAGACCTAGAGGAAGGCTGAATTTAAAATTACGGAGTTGTACTTGAAAGGGGACACTATCGTAAAATTTCAAATTCCCAAGTTTCGCGGTTCCCGAGGTAATAATTTTCTTCGCCAAACCTTTCATGGGTCGCACGTTATACCCAAGCGCGCCGGGAGGTGGAACTCAAATCTGTGGGATTGTACATGGGCAGGAGCATTATCTTAAAATTTCAGTTTTCTGACTTCCATAGTTCCCGAGACAATAACTTCTCCCCTCTTCCCCCCACAAAAAAAACTTTCACGGGGTCGTACATGGCACCCGAGGGTAAGGGAAGGCTGAAATTAAATTTGCAAAGTCGTACGTGGGCGGGGAACATTACCTTAAATTTTCAGTCTCCTAGCTCTTGTGATTCCCGATTTGAAAGTTGCGGACAACTTGCATCGGACACACGCACAGAAACCCACACAGACAACTCCATGACAATATGCATTTTGTGCAACTGTTGCACAGCACAAAATATATAAACCATTGGTGACGCGCACTTGATGGGCCCGTGCGATCATGCGTTTTTGCAGTATTTCGTACTGTGATGAGACCGTTCAGAAACCAGCGTGTGGTGCATTGATCCCCGAACTTCGGGAACCTAATAGTCTACGCAGTATTTGGACAGGGGACATTCCGTTGAAATTTCAGCTTTGCAAATTTTCTTGAGTTAGCAGTTTTCCTATCAGAAATTTCACGGAGCTGTACGTGAGTACCACACACACTGAAGAGCTGAATGTGATAACTGTAAGTCGTGCTTGTGCCAGGAACATTCCCTGAAAATTTCAGATCTCCAGCCCTCCTGGTTCCCGAGTTAGCCATTTTTTTGCCAAAAACTTTCACGAAGCCGTACGTGAAAATCAAGCACACTAGAGTGCTCAATTTGATAAATTCAAGCTGTACATGTGCTAGGAACATTCTCTGAAAATCTCAGCCTGCCAGCTTTCCTGGTTCTCAAGTTAGCGATTTTCGCTCCAGGAAATCTCACGTAGCCACACGCAGGAACCACGCACACCTGAGGGCTGAATTTGAAAATTTTGAGTTCTATGTGAACAGGGAACACAACCTCAAAGTTTCA